TCAATGACACACTCTCCAACCACCTGGCTTACAAGCTAAATCATTCCACAGAACAGAATTTTAAAGAACAGGAAAAGGGCAGTAAAAATGTACATTTTGAGCCAATGGTAAATGTAAGGAAACCAATTTGCTCATCACAGAAGATGTCTTTTGGTTTTCTGTTAAGGTGTGGTAAAACAAGAACTGAATTAAATGCACTACTGTTTTTCCATATTGAATATGTTGTGCCTTATCAGGCATGTAGCCGGGGGGGGGGGGGCTTTGGGGGCTTCAGCCCCCCCCCGAAATTCTCATGATGTTCTGCGAAAAGGCCTTACTAGTACATTATTTAAATTTATTTATTTATTTATTTACTTTACTTTACTTTACTTATATACCGCTGTTCTCAGCCCGAAGGCGACTCACAGCGGTTCACAACCAACAAAAACAGCAGAAATTCAATGTCAGATATAAAACAGTTAACAATCCCGCGCAGCACACAATTAATAAACACTTATTACAATAACTAATCACTATCATCTCATCCACAAAAACATAATCCAGACTTGTCAACCATTTTCCATTCCTATGTTCATTACCAATTATTGCACTAGTTATTCAAACGCCTGCTCAAACAACCAGGTCTTAACTTTTTTATGGAATACCATTAGAGATGGTGCTAGCCTAATGTCCATGGGAAGGGCGTTCCACAGCCGAGGGGCCACCACCAAGAAGGCCCTATCTCTCGTCCCCGCCAACCGTGTTTGAGAAGCAGGCGTGATCGAGAGTAGGGCCTCCCCGGAAGATCTCAAAGCCCTGTTGGGTTCATAGGCAGAGATGCGGTCAGATAGGTAACTTGGGCCGGAACCGTTTAGGGCTTTAAAGGCCAACGCCAGCACTTTGAATTGAGCCCGGTAGCAAATCGGTAGCCAGTGGAGTTGGCGCAGCAGGGGGGTTGTATGCTCCCTGCGCTCCGCTCCTGTTAAAATCATGGCTGCCGAGCATTGGACTAGTTGGAGCTTCCAAGCCATCTGTTATGTTTATTCATATCATGATCTGATCACCATGCTCAATATATCTCATATGCATGGGGGTATTGGGGTAATGATACAAAAGGTTTGCTATTATTATTATTATTATTATTATTATTATTATTAACTTTATTTGTACCCCGCTAGCATCTCCTGAAGGACTCGATGCGGCTTACAAAGGCCAAGGCCTCAAACACAACATAACAATACAAACCTAAAGCAAATTAAAAACAATTAAAGCAATATTAAACAACAAAACAACAAGCAATAAACAATACACCAAAACACAATAAAACTGGGCCGGGCCAGAGTGAAGGGTACAGAATTAAAAGTGCTGATGTGACAGGTGATATGTAAGGATTATAGGGTAGACCCTCTTTCACTCAGACTCAGCCCCCAATTCAAACTCAGCCCCCCCCCCCCAAATCAAAATCCTGGCTACGGGCCTGTGCCTTATAGATGTTGTTACCTCTCACAATAATTATTTTTATTCATTTTGATGAATGCATATTAATTTCCATCCTGCCTCTATTAGTGTAAACATGTGGTCTGATTCGCATATATATAACTCTAAAATAATCAGAATAAAAGGAACCAAAAATTTCTGGGCATACTGGCTTCACTCACATCATTTTGAGTTCACTGACTATGACTCACAAAATCTCACTTCTGAAGTTTTTTCCCTGCTTAAATAAAAATAAATAAGTTGAGGTAATGGGTCTCTCTGGTTTATTAGGATTATAATAGTATTATCTTGCATGGATGCCATTCACATGTCATGTTTTGCAGAATAGTGATTGACAAGAGTTAAATTCAAAACATGTAGTCATTTTCTAGTGTTTGGGGTTTATTATTTCCTTTTCCCCTCCTCTGTGATTGAAGAAAAACTGTTTAGATGTTTGTTTCCAGAACGGCATCTGTCAGCAATCAAAGGAGGAAAAATTGCATAAAACAAATGCAATTGTTTAGAGTAGCATTTCCTGGATCATGTTAAATGCTTGATTTGCTCCCCATTATGTTCACTAAATAATTTTGTTTTCCACAATAATTGTAATATTTAACATGTTACATTTAATCTTCTTTCAAGGCTATTAGTAACAGCTCACTTAGAAAAGATGTAGTTGGTTGGCAGGGGGAAAAACCCACTGCCACCCACATCATAAAGAAAAATGGTAAAGTTAACTGCATCCTAATTGTTCTGGATCGAAAACACAGTTATTGCACATTGATTCTTTTCTTTGCATCAGACTACTGTACTGTCCAGAATAAAGTGATTTCATGCTCCTTCTGGTAAGCTCAAAACTATAGTCTTCCCAAGTAATCACTGTGATGTTTGATACATTTTTCATGGCTAATTTAAGGACAGGCTCAGTGGCAATAATCTTGTACTTCAAAAGCCCATGGGTATTCAACTGAACAGAAAACAAAGAAATACCTGAGAAATGTATTGGCCAATATAGACTTATACAAGAACATGTCAACTGGCAAACAGGCATAGATAACCAAGGAAGATTTGAACCTTTATTCAAAGGCAGCCTGTAGCTGGAAACCTTCAGCCAATTGCCATTGAATGCACACCATTAGTTAGTTATTGCATGCTTTTCATGGATTATGACTCAACTCTCCCAATTTTTGAAACATTTTAATAAAAGACAGCACCAATATAGGCTTAATACTCTTTAATTAATAATCACAAGTGCTGACTAGGAAGGAAGAAATCCAAACTGATACTGGCTAGATACTGATGGTTGGTCAATCATTTTACTTTATATTTTATGCAGAAGTCTTTGAAATCCTCAAGAAGCCTAAAAAATAATAGGTACTTTTAATGAAATGGAGTGAAGTGACGGATAGGTATTCATCAAAAGCACTATGCAGATAACATCATTTTCTTTTTGGTTTCAAAATAGAACTATTTTGGATTCAGAAAAGAACTATTCACAAAGTTAGATGTCCAAACATATAATGATATGTCACACATCTAAAATGTAAACATGTTGACTTCATAATGAATAACATACATGCACACAACATCGCATATTTTTGCTTTAAAGAAACATATGCATGCATGTGCAATGCAGGCATCACATTGAAAGAATTTAAAAGTCTCATTTACAAATATAATTATTTCTACATACAATAATGAGAATCATGTAAGAAGAAAGAATAATAAGGTTCCCATTTGCCCCTTGGGTGTGATGAAACAAAATCCTTCAGTACAATGAGTATTGTATAAAATGTAGATCCTACCTATAAAGACTGCTGTTGAAGTACAGATGTAGAAGAAATAGAGTTTTTTTCAAGAAGCTAATGTGAAAGTCTTGCTAATAAGAATTATTATTATTATGTAAAGTTTTTCAGTTGTGAAGCATATTTTTAAAAAGCTCACATTATTACACAAAGTATTTGTGTACCACACCAAAATATCACAGTTGTATCCTTTTTCGCAAGAAAAGGTTTTTTAACCATCTAAAAATGGGAATGCCAATTGTCCTAAACATAAAGTAGCTCTGTGAGCTCCCATTACCCATAATGCAACAGAATGAAGCACTCCTTATTTGGGTGGGGCAGAAGGATTCGTTCAAAGGTTTCTTCATGGATTGATGAATGAAAATACAGTCAACCCCCTGTATTCATAGATTCTGCATCCATGGATTCAACCATACATGGCTTTAAAATACTTCCTAAAATTCCTAAAGCAAGCATTGATTTGGGTTTTTTTATTTGAGGCATATCATTGTACATAATGGAACTTGAACATCTATGGATTTGAGCATCCCTGGAAGGTCCTGGAATTGGTTCCAGGACTCTCCATGGATATTCAAGTCCATGGATATTAAAGTGGATACCCAAGGCTCAGTATGTTTACTTTAAGTAAGTGGGTGGAGTTAAAGGACCTAAATATTCCAGAAAAGTGGGAATAACAATTGTAAAGTTTTTCGCTTAATAATCTACCTGTTGACCTCATGATAATACCATATAGGTATAGGTAGTAAATTCCATTGAATCTAGATGGACTTATTTCCAAATAACCATGAATAAAATCCTGCTGCTACTCAAGTAAAAAGATAGGTGGTTAAAAATGATATGATTCACTAATTCTCGTTTAAAATTCCAGACATTACATAAAAGACACATAAAACTGTAGAATTGTCTCTTTCCTCATGTGTTTGTGTGTGTTGCTGTACATCGTGTGTAGCCTAGGGGGTGTTTATCGATGGAACCTGCTGCAAATATGAATAAAAAGCATCTGTCAAGGATGGCAGACATGACCAAAGAATAATGTTAAATACAATGTGATTTCTTTATTTGGACAGCAGGGAAAATGCATGTTCATAAATGTTGTATCAATGGCATGCTATTTTTGTGTGGCATCACCTGGTGAGCAGATATTTGGAGGCATGTGGCGAATTTGGATAACTTGGTGTTTTGGTTAGTCAAGCTTTGGAAAATAGAATTCTAATAGATTGCATCAAAACCATACTGGAAATGGAGAGGGGGGTCTTATTCAGAAGTGCATTGTCTGAGTAACCATTTGTATGCCAACAAAATCTTTTAAAACATACTCTGTTATCCAAAAAAATGAAAAGATCAGCAAGATGCTGTCAAATTTTGGATTTTATTTTTTAGTGCAAAAGCATTTTTTAAATTTCTATGAAACATAAAACACTTTGAGTCATTATGGTGAAACAAAATCCTTAAGCTAATTATATATTTTCCTTTTATTTCCTAAAATGAATGTGTACAAAGATCTATCTATATATCTACATATAGAGATATTTGGAAAAAAATAAATTGAAACCTTCATTCAAGTGTGTGTCTTTTTTTTCTTGGTCACGTTCTTGGGAAAAGTAGCTGTGATAAACAGATACTGAATCAGACTGGAAATTCTCTTTTTTCAGGCAGGGGGGTGGAGAGAAATAAACCCAAAACATTGCATGATAGTCTCTAAGCAGTTCCATCTGTCAAGCAGAAATTTTAGGCTAATAGCCTGTGGCAATCTCCCTTCGCAGTCCACTACCTGCCTTTGTCCTACTAAGTCTCTATTCATTTTTTTTAAAAAAGCTAGTCGAGGGGGGAAGAGGAGAAAAAAAGGAAAGGGGAAAATCTCGCAGACTAAAATCATCCGAATGATGAAACCTTAATTTTATCCTCCTCTCTTTGATGTTAAGCGGTGGCTTCTTACTTTAAAAGGGGGGAGGGAGGGAGAGAAAGAGAGAGAGAGAGGAGAAGAAGACAGTGCTAGGAGCAGATGACTTTTCATCCCCACTTCACCTTGCCACTGGGTCTGTGAGAGATTGGTTCACTGTCAAGGAGACTTTTTTTTTACCCATGATTCCATATGGTATGGACTGGGCTACATGTTGCCCAACATGCCAGTGCAAATGTTTTCTCAATTAGGTGTCTTATCTCCCGTGAGTTAGCATCAGATGAAGCTTGCTGACAGCATAATGGCAGGGAAAACCTCCGACGGATCCATCAAATGGCAGCTCTGCTATGACATCTCGGCCAGAACTTGGTGGATGGTGAGTTGGCAGCACGGCTGCTTTTTTTTTTCTCTCCTCCCTTCCTTTTTTCGACTTTCCCTCCCTCTTTGAGAAAATGTCCCAGACCTCACATTTATCAAATTAACATTTGATTTTTTTTCACACTCTTCACTGGAGCAGCCTTCTACTTGTCCCACTTGTGTATTTTTTCTTCTGTAACAAGACACTGTTCATGTGCCCTACACTTAAGAAACTGGCAGCTTCCCCCTCCATTTCTTTTTTTCTTCCTTTAGTTCTTTTTATAAAAGTGTGTGGACAAGTAGTTTGAAAAGCTTTCTTTGCAAAGAGCAACTTTTCCTAAACTCTATTTGGATGTTCTTATTGGTGTTGTACGTTGCAATGTGGAACTGCAGGTTCTTGTTCTGTCTTTCTGTGGATATGGAGTTGTATATGTGGAGGAAATGTAAAATGTGCCCATAAAGATTATGTGCCAGGCAAGGCTCACAAGTAAAACGGTAAGGAAGTCTTGAACAGTTTCAGATATACAATTCTAGTAAAACCCGCCAATGTTTTTTTAGTGACACTTCATGAATTTGTGATGTTTGAGTGTCTCATCAAGAGACCTAGTTTAACTTTTTCTCTTAATTGTTTACATTAGAATAGATTCCTGTCTGGTTATGATCTGTAGCCGGGTGTTACAGATCCCACATGAATGTCTTTTGGGTTCAATTAAAAGTTTTAATAAAGTTCCAACAGGCACTCTCAGAATGAGTTAACTTGCATGTCATGGTCACTCAGGCCAGACAACCTTTGACATCTTGAATCTATCAGAGGTACAGTGAGTTAGAAGGATGCACAATAGCCCATTGTGGCAGAAGATGCAAACCCTGTTGTGTCAGTGAGAGTCCTCAAATCATTACTGCCCTTGTTAGCGTGCTGTCCGTTAGAGATTAATTTGTTAGCAGAGCTGCTGCTTTTCTCCTTTACTTGCTTTCCTTTTTTTAATTTTCTGTAATTATAATTCTTGTGGCAATGCATGATTTTTTTTAAATGTTTTTTGAGGAAACGCAATTTTGTTGCTGAGACAATGCACGTATTATCTGCTCCTAACTGGACCGTGAACCTCTCTATTCAGTTCACATAGATATCACGGTTCATTTTTGTTTTTTGTTTTTTTGTTTTTAAAGAGGACTGTTGAGCGGAATTACAATGACACTGATCACGCTGTTATTTTTCATGATATGCTCCAAGAAGTAAGTGGGAGCAAAGAGACTTTCACACATACACACACGCACCCATACACACATACAGAGAGAGAAGAAACATCACCCAGATCAATTTTGATGTCATCCGGAGATGTTTCGGATGCCTGTGGACTTGGAAGACATGGGAAACTGAAATGTGGAAGGATTTTACTCTGCAGCATGGCGGTATTGGTTGCTTGCATCAAAAGTTGTTTGTTGGAACTTTTATTCATTAGAAAGGTTTAACTAGTGGTTGCCGGCTAAACGTTACATGCAAATTCTGGTTAACTAGAACAGAGGAAGTCTAACCACTTTATATCAATATTCTAATTAGACTTTCCTCCAAGAGCAAATACAGAAAGGATGGTGTGGGATGCTTTGAAACTGACTGTTTGTATGACTGATTAACTTGTTAAATAATGAAATGTGATTATTATTGAACTGAAGCTGTTTGCAGGGAGAAGCTGTAAACTGCATTTCCTTAATACATAATACTGTGATTTTAAACTCTTATTATACTCCTCATTGTATTGTTTGGTTCCCATGATAACTGTGAAGTAATAGACTTTAAATATTGTCTCCCTCTTTGAAAGTATATAAAAAAGGTTGTCTTTAGAAAAGTTATTTTGCACATGTCTTGCCATTCAGAACAATACATAGATTTATGTATTATATTAAATAATCCTGGAAACATTTAGCAATGCACTTGACAAGAAAATAAACAAGCTTTATTACTAGACAGGCTGTTGTTTAGATGAAACAGGATGGGAAGTTTTAAACTTTTAACATGCCGCATAACTTATTTTCTAAAAATACAGGTTCCAAAATCACATTTCTAAACGTTAGTGCACTAAAACAAAAAGAAATTGGTATTTTTTTAAAAAAAATCCCTGAAATGAACCACGCAAGATTCTGTACGACAGGCATGCCCATTTTCAGACAAGGGCTCAATTATTGGTACAAAAGTAAGCAATTTTGCTGTGCACACTTTAATACAAAGCATATTTTAAACCCCAAGCCTCATCACATCTGTTAAGTTCTTTTAATCAAAACTTGGCTACACAATGAATTTTAACATACAAAGACAAAAAGGAAGCTTTGAAAGTTACCTCATGCATCGTCTGGCTTCACAAAAAAATCTCGGCTACTGCCTACTGCTAAACTTCGGTTTGGTACTGCCAGCATACAAAGAGATGAGTGAATGCCCCCTTTCCACCCGCATGGACTCAGCTGCCAACTGTGCGATATGCAATTTTGTTTTTTAATGAGTCGTAAACAATTTATGTGTGCCAATGAAGCAAGTTTGTTTTATTTCAGAGGAGCAGGTTTGGAATTGGTTTGAAGTGGCTGCCGTCTCTACTGTATGGGAATATGCTGTCCAAATTTAAAGGTTCTGTGTCATTTTGATGAAAAGACCTATTATAATGAAAGAAATGGCTGTATGAAAGGGTGGGCATAGTAATCTCTTAGCTCGGACACACTCATTCTCTCACTTTCTCCCCCTTGCTTTCTCGCTCTTTGGCATGATTTCAGCCCAGTCTACAGTATGTTTGTAGCTAGATAGTTACTTGCTTTGCTCTCTAGTAAAAATTAAAAAAAATCTCATTTACCTTTGGAACAAATGGCTTGTGAATGTGTTGATATGCCTGTGTGCATGTATGTTCACACACACACGCACACACACACACACTTTATTGAACAGACTTTTTATGACATCTTATGTCCGCTCCCATAAATGGTCTTACCATCCACATCTGAAAAATCATTTATCTCATTGTTATCTTCTACAATGGAATGAACAATTTTCACATTTAGATCAAATATTAATTGACTGCAATTTTATTATTCCGGTGGGTCTTACTCTCAAGCCATAGGTTCAGTAACTTCAGACACTTCATAAGACTGTAAGCAAGACTCAGTATCTGTGCACATTTTAACAATAATTACATTTGTTGTAATGACTTACAAGAAATCTTTTGAAATCTAACCCTCTCTCCCTCATGCTTTAATCATGCCATTCTTGAAACAGATATTAATTTAGGTTAATACTCATATGACATCTTTGGTTTTAAAAGTTTGGGACCTACAGAAATGCAATACATTGGTGCACTTCACACACATATACACATCCCAAATAAACAAACAGTAAAGTTGGAAACTCTATCATCAGTATTTAATATATTAAAATACACATTCAAAAGTTATGTACTCCAACATACGGACTCAGTCTGCTTCATCAATATTTGTTCCTTTTTATCAGCTTTATATTTTATTTATGACTATGACCCTATATAGCATTGTTATTATTATAACAGAACAAGTGACGTAGATGTTACAAATCTGGCAACAATACCAGTTTTCAGATCATTTTAGACGTATTTCTAATGTCAGATTGATGTATAGATGAGTTTCTGAAGCAAAGTATAGAGAATACATCTCAATCATATGTAGTTATAGCTGAAATCAAAGGCGCCGTTTCTTAAAGATGTTCCTTATTAATAAATGCAAAATTTGGACTGATGAGTGGCTTCTGCTACAAGAAAGAATATATACACATGCATTTATGTATTAAAACTTATCCTTTATGTTGTCAGAACTTTGTGACAAGAACACCTCTTTCACTATGTTTGTTTTTACCTGCTTTCCTTAGCAATTCAGATAGCAAAGCTACCAATATAAACACTCATTGTATCCCAGCATAGTTCATTATGTTTCACAATCTTTATTTTTGGATGACATTCTCTTTCTTGTAAATACTAACTAGTATTTTAAAATCTGAAAGTGGTGCTATATGTCTTTAAAACATTTTCTTCTATATTGGCAATACTTTGTTGTCTGTAAAAATGATAAAAATTATCCAGGAAATCTCTGAAGTAACTAAAATATGTCAAAATGAGAAAACAGGCAATTTGTGATTTAAAGATGCTGTGCAAGTACTTCTTGTTTGATGTACAGCTAACTAAAAACAGAAGCACTGTGTACCCAATTTGTCTGTTTTATTTTTTAAAAATTATATATATTTTAGAAATGTGATGCCCCATATGTTGACCAGTTCTTTAAGAGAATAATAAAATATTATATTATATTCAGATTTCTGTTATACCCATGATCAAATAATAGGTTTCTTCCAAAGCAATATAGTACCTTTGAAAGCCATTTCTGAATCTATCTGAATATTTATTTTCCTTCCCATAGAGACACACAATAATAGATTAACATTTCTTGCTTTATGACATTTGTTCAAAGTACTTACTTTCTATGACATTCACTCTGCAATCCTATATCCTTGAAGAAAATCCCATTGATCCCAATGAGCCTCACTTCTAAGCAGGCAGGTATAGGATTGCACTCCAAATATTTTGCTATTTCTTATACTATTCCCAGTTAGTTTTTCAGATGTACATACTACCTCCATTTCATTTCTATCCTCTTCCCTCACCTGTCCTGAATATTGTCAGGAATGTTTCTAATTTAAAAACGAAAGAGCCAGTGGCTGATTAGAAGACAGGAAATTGGAGGATTAAACTGTCTGGTTGAACTTCCTTTACTTATCAGCACTCAGTACCTTTTACTAGATTATAAACTCAACAACAGTTACAATGTTATTTTCCATGTTCTGCTTAATTTTAATTTCTTTAGAAAATCTGGACTTCGGGCAGTGGTGACTCTGAGCCAAGAACAGTTGTTTGCAGCATTGACTAAAAGAGATTTGAATCATTATGGACATTACAAAGATCTCTTCATCTTTTCATTTCAAGATTTGTTTGAAAGTGTGTGTGCATGATGTCCATGAATGTATAAACAATTGACATTGAACCAAGTATCATATAATGCAAAACTTTATAAAGGAAATTGCATTGTTTGCTAAGAGGGAAATGCCTCACGATAATCCTTATTAAAACCTTTCCGCCATCAGAAACATTCCGAATCTTTTGTAATGCCATTGTAAATCCATGTAACATGTTGTAGGAATGGTAAGATTACCAGTGTACCTTACAGAAACATTAGAAACTAGTGTTCGAAGTCAGAGTTTGCCAGGAAAATGTTTACTTTTTCACAGTTGCCCTATTGGCAAGAGGGAAGGGTGTGAAGAACATTAAAGGTGCATTTCTTTTTCACAGTTAAACCAAGACTGTTCTAGCTCACATCTAAATTTTCCTGGTTTTTGGGAGGCACCAGAGAGCTTGACACTCTTAACTACCAAGTTATTGAAGTCAAGGGGAACCTTCTTGAAGGATGTAAGCCTCACAACATAGTGGTTCAAAGACTGGGAGAACCAAATGTCCCTCATCCCCTGAAGGTCTTAATGCCACTTTTCCTCTGAAGGTATTAAAGTATTCTAACTTTTAATGGTTAGAAATAACATAATGACAGCAGAAAGAACCTTAGATGGAATCTTGATTGAAATATTATTGGATTTTTCTGTACAATATTATTTTACAATAGTTTTCTGAAAACATTTTAACTCTCCATTTTAACTCTCCTGTGAATTTCAGGGGAAGTACTACATGCAAATATATCCATGTAAACAATGGTAACAAAATCCAAAATCCACAAGTAACTATACCTTTATTGGGCCACTCCAAAGCACTAAATGCATTGTGCAAGCTTTCCAAACTTCACTCATCAGATAAAGATGTAAAAAATCATACATGAGAAAATTGTTGGCAATGTTAGTGTCACAGGCTACCCCTCTTCTTGGCCATGTGATGACTACAAAGGAATACGAAACAGATAATAAAATTTCAACTCTATTAACAACAGAAAAGATCTAGATGTTCCGATCCTGTGCAAAGTTAATTGCTCCTTTCTTAGGCAGAGCATTGGATATTTTTCAGTAACCTGAAAAAGGGTTTTAGGTGCAGTATAGGTTAAATGTGCCAGATCTTAGTATCAAAATATAGTCCAATCAAAGCAATTTGCCTTTGTTATAGATAGAAAACTCAAAAGAGTTAAGTCTCAGGCCCCTTCCACACAGCCATATAAAATCCACATTATCTGCTTTGAACTGGATTATATCTCAGTGTAAGGCTCCTCTTCCACTCAGCTGTATAAAATCCACATTGATCTGGATTGTATGGCAGTGTGGACTCAGAAAATCCAGATCAAACAGATAATGTGGATTTTCTGCCCTGATATTTTGGATTATATCACAGTGTAGAATCGCCATCAGTCTTTTAGTTCCCTCTTGTTTAGGTTGCAAAAGGCCTCTGCCATGGTGCTGCTGATAAACTTGTAATGATACACCTATTCGCTATCAAAAATGGTTACTGGAATCTATTGACAATTATTTACATTAACTATCATTAGGTATTATCATGCTATCCAGCAATTATTGGCTACAGCAGATTGCCCATGAAATCCCTACCAGTTCCTGAATGTCACTGAAGGTCTAGAACGGATTGTGGGCAGTAGAATGTCTGAGCTGGCAGAGGGGAAAATCCAAAACCCACATTAGGATAGCATCTCTATAAGCCCACTTAAAGATGTGTACATGCTTTGAGAGTTCCAGATCAAGCAAAATGTTACAAATTCACACAGAAGAAAGATGGTATTACAATTTTAAAAATAATATGCTCTGCATAGCATCCTAAACAAATAGAGACAATTTGCTTAAAATTAAATGAAAGTTCCATTGGGTGAATTGAAGGTTTCCAGTTGGAGTGATCCCTGAGCTTGTTGAAAAGAAAGGGTGGAGGATGATTTTTGAAAATACAAAATCCAGAAGTGAACACAGAACTCTTTCTATCCTAATGAATACAGTTTGCTTTTTCATTTTTAGTAAACAATGGTGAAGTAAACATCTTAACAAAGCTCAGTCTCTTTCTTAGATGGTAGACTAATTCTTTTTCAAGAAAGTTCCCTATCTGTAGCTAGTGATTCAGAGAAGAAAAGTCCCAGCTTCAAGCTCCTCCTGTGACTTTTCTAGGACAACCTATCTTTTTTTTCATACTTGTAGCTATCAGTGTTTGCTACAGCATGCAACTAGAAGGATGTGACATTGGGGAAGCCCATTCAGGCTGTTTGCTTTATTTGAATGGCAGTCTTGCACACTGAAGCTCATGCCTTTCTTTGCTATTTTAGACATAACAGGCAGTGGGCATGACTGTGAGCCCACTGCATATGTCTCCAGCTATGCAATCATCAGCTGTGGAAAACAATAAATCTGTATCTGAATCTATGGTCAACAGTGGAGAGGGCTAAGTCATTGACGGAGTTTTAGACCATTTCTCTGAAAAGACTCACAGAATAACTCACTATACAGGGAAATTATTCATCTTTGGGAAATAGCAGGTGAAAACTAAAGTTGGAAATATTTTGAAAGACTGATAAATTGCATTGGCAGTGGGATATTTTGAAACAGAAAGAAAGGGGAATCTTATTTTCATGCCCTACCCCCCCCCCACACACACACATATATAACTACATGCTAAATTATTAGTATTATATTGTTTTGAAGAGACCAAATAAAGAAAGGGCATTCAGCGCATAAGAAGTTGTTTATGATTAATGCTTAGAAGTTCATACCAACACTGTGTTTAAAGACCAACCAGGCACAAGGTTTAAAAGTGTTAATGTATTGGACATAATAGTGTATGTCCCAAAGAGCTTTCAATTTTGTGGCCACTGTAATCAAAACTCTGGACTGTTTCCCATATACCA